CTTCCTTTCTTCCTTTCTTTCTTCTTTCTTGAAATTTAAAATGTCAGATTCGTCAGCGCAAGTCATCACTCAAATTTCAGATCTCTGTCCAACATGTTTTTCGAAATAGGTGAATGTTTTCTCATTCCCGTGGATGTCAATCAAAGGTAGCACAAAACAATAGTCTTGTTGCTCTCTAGTACATTCGGACTCATTTTTGCTTGCTTGTTAATCTTATTCCTTAAAAAAATATATAAATCCATCTTCTTCCTGCTACGTTAGGAAGCAGACAAGGCTGCTTTGTTTGTAAGATTATAAAAGTCTCAAGCAAACTTGACTGTGGCATGGCTTTCATGAGGCAGCAGAGGGGGCAAGCCAAGCCACTGAAAAATTACTCACTGACTAAGCTGTTTTTAATATTGTTTTTTTAGTAGATTTTGAGACGATGATTTTAAAATCCTCTAATTTTTTAGTTCAATGAATTCCAGCTTAAGCCAACCTGGCTTTATGGCTTGCAAGGGGAAGAGGGAGTCATATTATAAAAACAACTATGAAAACTGGTTTTCCAGAGCTTGTTCAGTTTTGCCTCTTGCCTGCAAGCCCATATTCAGAGCAAAGTCTGCTTAAGCTGGACTTACAAACCAGAGGGTTTTAATAATTGAATCATTCAAGCAGGTAAAACCAATCATGTCATTAGTAGCCATTTCGTTTTAATACTAAATACTACATCGAGAGTGAATTGCAGCTCGAGTCATCAGTTCTATATATATAGTCAACTATAACGAGAGTCTTTTAGAATCCAAAACCAGGCTAGACCAACATGGTTTACCTATTGTGGCCAATACATCTCTTTTCGTATCAACACAGAAGAGTGAGTGCTCTTACCTTTTCTGGATTTGAAATTTCTGTGCGTTGGTCGTTTGCTCTGACATGTTCACAACACAAACAAGACAACCATTTTTGAAATAGCTGTAGAGAAATCAAAGAACAGAGCTCACATTGTTGACTCAATGCCAGCAATCAGTTTTTTACGCCCTCCGGGGCAGCAAAGCGTTCCCGGCAAGGCACTTTTTGAAAAACAACTTAATTTGAAACGTGGCTACTTGGAACTCACAAAAGAGAAATTTACAGTCGTTGGTATGATATTATAAGATATGTATATTGGCTTCATTGGCTTCTAGAAAGTTATTTTATCACAAAGTATTTGTTACATATCTTAATAAATATCTGTATTTAACAATTCTTGCGAGTCAACACTGACATCTTAATTTTAGCGCCCCTAAGAATATCCATTTGATAAGATCAGATCTATCGAATATTCTTGAGACACGAGACCCATTTATTTGTCCCAATATGGCTCTCTAATGATCGTACGATCAATGCGTGGTGTTGTTCTTAATCCCTTAAATAGCATTATCGGCTATTAGTCACGCAACTCCAACTCGCTCGAACGTCTCGAATCAATAAATTACAATTCTACTTTGGCAGTAGACGTTCAAGTTCGTTCGGGCGAGTCCGCAAAGTATATATGGACAATCATTGAAATGGTCGCAGTTTATCACGCAACGCGCTGTCACGCATGCGCACTGACACTCATGTCTTGGCTGGGTAAAATTGCTCGTTTAAAGAAGTGTCAAAGTGTCGTGCGTGATTTTTTGAGAAGGCGTCCTCAATACTTCACTATTTTGCCAGTCGTTGCTATCCGTTATCGCCATTATTAGATATTTTTCGAATTCGTACAGCATCGCTACGTTCCTTGATTACAGGCCAATATACTCAGGGTTAACCTTTTTTCAGCTTCAGAACATAGACCTCAAGCATGACGTTTTATACCTTTACATCTCTAAAATCGAATTAAGCCCCGTTTACACTAGCGATTTTTTTGCTATTTTGTCCATAATAAATAATGGAAAAGAATTTGCTTGCAAAGTTTTTTTCAGGATACCAAGATTTTCCTAGACGAATGTCTCTTTTGAAGGATGAGACAAAAGATTTTATATTTCCGAAAATTGCCATAAAAATCGCGGCAAAAATCGCCGCAAAAATCGCCAATGTAAACGGGGCTTTATACCATTGTAATCCCTGAAAATGGGTGCTAATGCCCGAAAGCTCGGAAATAATAAAGCTGTTTTATTATTTACCTCTATAATCATTTTCGGTAGCGTTTTCAGTGCTTAAGCAACCGACCAGGTTTAGGGAATACTCGATGGAAGTATGCTAATCAATGACCAATGCTTTTATAAACATAGCAAAAAGGTAAAATAATTGTAAATCGAGAAAAATTCAAAAACGTTTTTAGCAAAATCTCCATTACATAGCGCGCGCTACTCAATCACGTCAGCTTGCACCATCGCTTCTTGGAAGCACACTCGCGCACGCTAATTGACCAATTACTGAACGCGTCTAAGTATATACCAAATTGTGTACTTTCTAAGAACGCGCGCGCTCATTGGTTAATTGGAGGTGAATATTGTACGATATTCACCTCTGAATCTCGGAATATTGAGTCGGCAACAAAATGGCATCTGCCGGCAATCGTTTTGCTACAATTTCCGATGAGGAAATTGAAAAAATGAAAGTAAATGAAAGTAAATGAAAGTTTTGCTAAAAGGTTTGCGTGAATTTGTCACGCAAGCTGCAAGTTTCTGTTTGTTTGTTTTTATTGAATTATTGTATATAAAAATAAGTTAATATATACGCAAGTTGACATATGCTAAAACAATTATTCACCTCAGGCTCAGTGAATATGGAGAATATTTACCTCGCCGCTCGAAGACTCGCGTCTCGGTAAATATTTCCCGATATTCACTTCGCCTTCGGCGAATAATTGCTAAATATCAATGCTGTGTCATAACTGTATTTTATTTTATCATTTTAGTTATATTTGCTATTAATAGTATAACAAATAAGTGTAAGAAGCTGAAACATATGTATGCAAATTGATTCCTAGCAGAAATTACGTCACAGCTGTCAAGAATGAATGACAGAGACACCACAACAGCTTTCGCTAATTACTGCAGGCGCGTACTTTGTTTTAAGACACAAACAAAGAAACGTACATTATGAAAGGTATTTATGACTTTTGTTTTATATCGTGAAAAAAAGGCAGTGAGATAAATTGATATCACATTATATAGCAAGCGGTAGGAGTAAGCATATCGGTGCCAGCTGCGCGCAGACATTTTCTCCCCCATCCCCCAAGAAACAAGGACCAAAGGCAGGAAAGAAACGTCTGGGGAAAATACGGTCTTAATCCAATATGCGCGCAGGCTAAACTAAATCGCGCAAGCGATCAAAAATACATTAATTATAATTAACCTCTAACCCTTTTGGCCAATCAATGTCTCATGAGAGGAAACCAGTGTCCTAAGAAATATAGACGTCCAAATCAAAATAAATGTTTTTTGTGCTATGCTGTCAATATCGGTTGCGCAACTCATCATGTACAGTCAACGCCTTCGCGAAACCTCGATAGCAAAATCACCTCACTGTTGCGGACAGGAGCAAAATTCCCGACGAAAATTCCTCACAGCGTAACCAAATCTTGTTACATTAGGAACACCAACTGACGGTTCCGAGGGCCTCTACTGTAACAAGAGGTACAATTTTTCAAGGGTTTTGATCGATTCTTATTATGTCGAATCACCATCTCGTACCCAAAGCCCCTATTTCTTATTGCGCATGCTCGACAAAACATCAATTATTTTCGTCGAGCATGCGCAGTAAGAAATAAGAGCTCTGGGTACGAGATTGCTCGAGTCATCGATAGTATTTGAGAAGCCATAAGCAGGCTAAACCAATCTCTTTTTGTACCAATACAGAATATAATTTCCTTTATTTTTTGCCTTTATTAAATATCCACTATATCGTTTTATAAATAGCCGTACTTGAATTACATAATTGGTGACTTTTTGCATTTTGAAAGATTTTAGCATCAACTGTAAGCGTGCGCATGCGCGCCATGCATAAGTGTTTAGCTCCTTTTTACTTGCGACCTTTTTATCTTCTATCGTCTGACTTTTGTTTCATTCTTATTTTTCTACTTTTTTAAAATCAAATATTTCTACAGACGGAGTATATTTAAACAATTTAAGTCCAAGTTATCAGAGTATATGAAAAGTATATCTTCACTTGGTTTTGTGAATCGTTTTAAAAAAGAAAAAAACTAATGTTTAAAAGAAGCGTCTAGATGTCAAACATTTGATCTGCAAAAATCAATGTTAGGTTGAAAGATCATTGATTTCTGCTCGAATAAAGAATAATGTGATGTTTTTAAGCCCTGTTAAACGAAGCGCTTTTCCTTGAATTATTGCCTCGCTAGGAAAACGTCGAATTCATGTATAGCCTTACTTTTATGTATTTGTCGAAAACTTTGAACCAAATCAAGTCTGTGCAGCTCCTGAATGATCTTTTTTAAAAATAGGCGCGCAATAGATAGCTTACGTTAAAAAAAGCCCATAACTTATTTTTTGCTACAAAAGCGAAAGTTCTATTATCAAGAGCTTTAAATTGTTTTCTGAATCATACAAAGTATTTTCTTATGATAAATATTGACATATGATACATATATTGTCTTTTTCAAGTCCATAGAAATGATTAAAGTACAAAGATTAATCTTCAAATTTTTGTGAAAAATTATCGCGGAGTTTTATAATTCACTTGGTTGAAATTTCGAGTTCAATATCCAGAGACGATCCTTCTTCTTCGGCGTGTATTCGGTTATGTCCTCGTAATCCAGAAAAGCAGGAAAAGGATTTGCTGCAACGTTTACAGTTATATGGTTTATCTCCTGTATGAGTCCGCGTATGGCTTCGGAGAGTCACTGCTTGGGTGAAACTTTTCGAACAATGTTGACATTTGAATGGCTTTTCTCCGGTATGTATTCGGGTATGGGTTCTTAAATTCGAATACTGGGTGAATGCTTTGTTGCAGAACTGACAACGGAATGGTCGATCACCTGTGTGAGTTCGGATGTGGTCTCGCAAATGTGAAGATTTCCCGAAGGATTTATCACAATGTACACATTGAAATCGCTTCTGTTTTGGCCGCCTTTGTTCGTCCGACGATGTCACGTGCGACGTTGCTTGAGAACTCATCGGCAGAGAAAATGGAAACATTCTTATTGGCGTCTCACTGTCTTCGGCGCTAAAACTGGGCGAGAATCTTTCTTGCTTGAGCCTACAGATTGAGTCTAGCGGTTTCTTTTGTGAGTACTGTCCATAGAAACGCTCCGGATACATGGTAGCCTCACAAAACTGACAATTACAAAGTCGGCCATCTGCGAAAAAAGAAAAGAAAAGAAGTAAAACACCAATATTTCATAAATATTGAGAACTGTATAAGAACAGATACAATAGATTCAAGTCAAGTTGAATGGAAGGTGCCAGAAGAGTGTGAAATTCGCTTTAACACCAGAATTATTGTTTTCTTAACAAACAAAGCTTGACCTTCTGATTTCAATTTCCTTGAGTCCTAATTACAGTTTTCCGTCCAATTTCTGTCTCACTGTGGCATCCGCTTGTTTTCCCGCCTGCTAATTGCTTAAAGTAATCTTGACGTTGATTGGTGATTTCAGTGCGCTCCTCAATGTATCTTTTAGCGGCGATGCATAACCGGATTTCCAAAAAGAATTGATTCTTGAGATCATTCTGTTTAAACTCTCTCGAGACATTTAATTTAGAATTTGTTAAAGACTTTTAACACTTCGGTAAATGAATAATTTGTATTTGTTCCATAATCTAAAGAGGGTTCTTTTGAACGGTATCTGTTTCACACACACACAACTCTACAACACGTCACCTCTTAACTTTTTGCTCTCGACGTCTTTTTCTCACTCGAAGAACCTTGAGAATTATATTCCATACTCGTTCATTCTACGTTATCTCGCACGCAAATCTAGCTCCTTCTCTGTCTAGTTGGTATATATATTCTTTTTCTTTGTCGAATTCGTATCATTTCTCTTAAAAAGTCAAACAATTACCGCTTAAAGGAAACATTTAAGATTGTTTAAATCAAATCCGTTGAAGATTCGATTAACACTGGTTCTTGTTTCCAAAACCACAACAGAAATAATCATTTTTTTTTTCCCGTTCTTAACCATAACTATCATTCCAGATTTCCCGCTGTTTTCTATATCAGAATCTTTTCTTCGGCATTAGCAAACACTGATTTTTATGAGAATTCAAATAACAATTATTGTACGCGGACTATTGTTTTAGGTCCACTTTGTTTTCCTTCATCGATAAACAACATTACTTTGCAGAATTGACTTTCCAATTTTCCTTCAAATCTAAACTAAAATATTTTCCATTGGAACTTTAAATAGTTATCCTTACGAGCTAACCTTGAAGTACAAAAGGTTAATTAATATTAAAGTATTGTTTTTCGATTGCATGACTTGGTCTTGCGAGTTTAACAAAAAGTACGAGAAAGCCTACGTCGAGACCCCAGCTGTGAGCTTCCAGAAACATCAAATTTTCTGCAAGGTCATCAACAACTGAAACTACAACATAACACAGTAATTTACACCAAGGGGAAAAGTGTTTTTCTCAGAGGATTTCAGCTGTTGTTTTGAAAATGAATAACTGGATTGCCGTGATAACTCGTCTCTCTTTCTCTCTCTCTMTCTTTCCTTTAGAACAATGCATAAACGCTTTCGAAATTTACTTGTAAATACGGCCGAATTATGAAACTGCATTTTCAAGTAACATTTGAATTTTTGTATGATGGGACGTTTCTTTTTCATATTACAAATTTTATTTTGTTTCTAATATTTCTTGTGTTAAAACTTGTGCTATTTCAAATAAATTCAAATAATCAGTCTAACCATGATTTTTTTGCAAAAAAGTATTAAAAAAATCCTCCCTAAAAGAGATAGAAAACGCTGTACAAAAACAGAAATGTAACACCTCGCAACTGCAAAATGTTCAACACTCATAAAGTTTATTTCAGAGAAAATTACTTCATCTCATTTCTGTTTGAAGTCTAAGCTTTTGTTAATTCGAGTAACCTTGAATCTGCAGAAAACAGTAAAAAGTATTTTAAAATTTCATTTTATTAAAATCGTATTAAAATTGATTTTATTGATTTTATATTTTTTTCATGGGTTAAAGCTTCTTTTCCCCGAATAACGTTGAACTCGCACAAAACAGCAAAAGAAAAAAGAAAAAAATAAGCAAATTAAAATCGAAATTGAATTTAAAAAATGGAAATGTAAAACCTTACCGCTGCAAAATGCTCAACACTTCAAAAATTTAACAAAACAAATGTCTTAAACAAGTGCGGAAAAAAACCTTACAAACATGATATGATTTGAAACTGATTTTTATTCGACATTTAAGAACTAACTGCAACTAACTGAGAGTTTTTTCTCTTTATTCATTTGAAAATAATTTTGTCTTGGGGTTATCGATTTCATGCAGTTACAAAAAACCCTTCACATTAAAACTTCATGAAGTTTTTGATATTTGGTTTCTTTAAGCGAGAAAAAAACAGTTATCATCCTGAAGATTTTGAAGTAATGCTAAAAAGCTGCGAATCAACTTTTCTATTTTTATTTCTATCGTAAAATGGCCATGTAAAAGAGCTAAATATAACACAGCATGTCAAACTAACACCACAAAGATGCTGTTAGGTCGCGTAAGGTTGTATAGGGAAAATAAAGGTGTCGTAGCGGTAGTACACTCGCCTCTCACCTCTGGGTTTAATTTCGGTTTTAATTTCTTGATTGGGCAACACATGTGAGTGAACTTTGTTAGGTTTCTCTCCCTTGATTCGAAGGATTTTTCGCTCTCCAATCCTCCTCTTCCCTCGGAAAAAACAAATTCTTTTTTTCCGAATTAGCCATGCCCTGACTTAGATAAGCCCAGAGGTAGTTTTAGAGTTTGATCTTTGAGTTAGCCCTGTCCTGATTTCGACCAGCCCAGAGGTTGTTTCAGAGTTTGATGTGTGAGTTATCCATGCCCCGACTTAGATCAGCCCAGAGGTTGTTTCAGGGTTCTTTCTGTGAGTTAGCCATGCCCTGACTTAGATCAGGCATAAGTTGTTTCAGGGTTTGATCTGTGAGTTATCTATGCCCTGGCTTCGATCAAAAATTGAAGATATATTTTGTAGAATCACTCACCGGTATAGAATACAGGCATGCGAGGAGGGTAGCATTCAGATCGATTTGCAACTTGGCGGGCGTACTCTTCTTGGCGGCGGAACTTTAGCCAGTTATTGTTGGTGATTCTTAGGTTATCTTGCGGAGTTGGACTTGTAGATGGGCTTGGCTTTTTACTCTGAAAGGGAGAAAGATATTTTTTATTTACAATAATATTTAAACAGGATGCTTCTTCACTATAGTGATTTTCGAGAAGGTCCTGTAAAACCAATAATGTAACAAAATTGCGACGAAATACAAATTTGATAATATGTATAAGCATTAAAAAAATCGTAAAATAACGTTTTGTGAGTCAAGCATTTAATGTTTAAATTTATTGAAGCATTTTTTAGAATTTTTGTTTATGATCTTTAGCGCAAATTTAGGTATAAATTTCCTGAGAATTAATTTATTAAATATAGATTTTTTTGGTCAAAAATGTCTTTCTTTGGTCTTCATTTTAGACGATTAATTTAGCTAACTTGTTTGAAGACAAACTGAATCAAACTTCGTCGCCTTCATAGTAGTTTTAGTACATTTTTAACGTTCATATTATTAACTCATAACTTGAAAATGTTTGTATATCGTGTATTCATGGGTTAAAAATAAATATTTGGTTTGAAAGCGTCTTTATCTTTATAAAAATATCATACGAAAATAAAAATATTTCAATTAACATTTTTGTAGAAATCATTTTCCCGATTACGTGGAGGAGAATGTTTTGAAATGATTTTTTTCAACAATATTTAATCACTAAATCGCTTTTCTAAAATAGTTTTATTGTTATTAAAGAAACTGCATTTTAACTGCATTTTTAATTCATTTATTTTAAATCTTAATTTTTACATCGTTCCCAATCTTAAAACTTAAAAACGAAATAAAATTATTTTTTTATATTGGCTGTTATGATGCCGGAATTCTCTCTTTCCGGATTTCTACTACTCTTTTATTTAGAACGGGCGTACAGTTACAACGGCAATAATATCAAAAAACCTCGACATACAAATTTACAGTTCATGACTTTTTGGTATCTGTGTTTAAGTGGATGCGTTTTAGAAAGAAAAATGACAATGACGTTGGTAGATAGATGTCCTGTGACAGTAATTACTAGAAGCAGGCTGGAGTGCAGACTTCGACTGTTTTACACATTTGGGAATATTTTCCTTCACAGACCCACTTGTATCAAACAAAATTTTTTTTTTCTTCAAAAATCTTAGAATCTCAGTAAACTGAAAAATTATACATAGAATCCGCTCTTCTGCCATTCCCTTTTTTCTTTTCTTTTCTTTCTTTCTTTTTTTTTTTTTTCTTCTTCATTTTTTCATTTTTTTAAGGTTCAATGCTTGTGTACTTCGATTCGAACCTTTCCACTGAGCTCCTAACGCAATTGAAAAACAATTTCATCAGTTCACTTGGTATTGTCGAAATGTTATCAAAACAAAACAGATTAAAATAATATAGTTCTCTTTCAAGAAAGTTATAATTAGGTTATTGGCTTGAAATGTCAGCCAGTGTGATTTATTACTACCCATATGATATTATGATCATATTTTCGTTAGCAGTAGGAGGAGGTAGAATTACGGTATTCCACCAGCAGGCTAGCTCAGAGAATACCAAATAAAATACACTATAAACAAATGAAAAGATTGATTTTATAATTTAAAATTTACCTAGACAATTTCAGGTTCAATCTTAAAGGAATTGTTAATGTTTTATTGACATGGGAGCGAAACTTAGGGAAGGATTGTAGCACAATGTGATGAAAAACAAGTTAGTTTAGCAATGACGTCGCCAACGTTCTTAAAAATATATTAAATTCTCATCACTTCGAGTCTTTTCAGGAATACTTCTCACCCGTGGCTCGTGTTGTGGAGCTAAGGTTTGCAGAAAATCAATAAAGAAACAATAGTTTAAACTGTGCGAATGCCCGCAGCTGTTCAGAAGGCTCATACGATTTGTACATATTCTATTGTGACTCTTATAATTGCCTTTTTCTCCAAGTTGAGCCAATTCCACGAGTGAGAAAACGAAGTTAGTCATCCATAACTTCGTTTTTGATTCTCAAGCACGTCGTTTTTGACTCCAATAAAAACGACTGTAAGAATGCTACGAATTAGTAAATGCGAAATAATGACTCCTACCTTAAGAATTCGCAATTTCCTGGGTTACTAACACAATATTTTGAAATATTTATCTGATTATCACAACCAAGGAAACCAGAAATATTTCATTTGATTTAAAAACAAACTTACTATCTTTGTTTTATCTCATTTTTAGCCTCAAGTTCTCCGTATTTAAGCCGGATTTTCCCCGCTTTATTCAGTCAAAACTGACTTACTACACCTCAAAATACTATCTTTTATTTCACTGTACTGTTAAGTTTCTATTTGAGTTCATTTAACAACTTTTGTTTTGACATCATTGTTTAAAGTCTTACCGGAGAAATTAACTTTACATTAGCGAAAGTTAAATTCTTAGAACGGTCATAGTAAGTTCCTGATGAATCCTTTTGATTAATTCTATCACAAGCCCCTTAATAACGGATATATCATTTAAAGTTAAGTGTGATAAAACTATCCATTTCATTTTAGGTTTAAGACTGACGGGAATATTAATCTGTTAGTGAGGAATTCCTTGATAGGTTTTAAGAAACAGCCGTCGAGATCTCAAAGTGTAGACACAAATTGATTTGGGAAACGCCTCCAAATTTCACAGTCATAATTATCGAGATATCCATCTACATAAATCGTATCAACGTGCTCAAGAGAGGGAGCCATAACAGTACTAAACGGATAGAACGGTTTGCTATTGGTACACCCCATAAACCTCGTATTTCTCGATCAAAAAACAAACGTATGGTCTGAATGTTGTATATTTTTTAAATTGCATCACCCTGGAACATAAATATAAAAAATTTTAATTCTTTGGTTCCTCGTTTTCAATTCTTAGAGAACAATCTTTATAGAGAAGTAACGATCAAAAATACGAACGTATGGTCAGAATGTTTTAGATTCAAATTGCATCACCCTGGAGCATCAAAATGAAATAGTTTCATTCTTTAGTTACTCGATTTTAATTCTTAGAGAACAATTTTTATAGAAAAGTAACTAAGGAGACAAGTCATTGAGTTGAGATCACCGTAGAAACACTGGCTCCATAGTGTATCGTTCAGTGTGAGGATTTTCAGCTATGCTTCTTTAACCTTCGCAAATTTAAATAATATTTAATTCATAGTATTTTGAATAAAATAAAGATGACTTGCATGAACAATTTTGAATCTGTGTAAAAGAATTGTGTAAAAATAAGTTTTAAATCTTATCTTTCTGGGGTTTTTTTCTTTTTGGTAAGCTCACGCGAAATCACCGTTTTTACCCGCTTGTAATCTAAGTTTGAAATCAGTATTGTTACCCAATAAACCAACACTCGTTATAATTTAATTGAACAACGGTTGGCGGGAACGAAAACTAACAAGCGCCTTAATCAGAAAATGTTAAAAGAAACTCTGGTTTGAAAATTACCTGGTGATGAACTGTACAACGATCGCCGCAATCGGACGGCAGCTCAACAACTTGATATAACTCTCCTCCAAACGGAGCCAATACAGATCCATTGGGTAGTTTCCAAGTTGGACAGTTTTGGAAGACGTTTCTTGCTTCAACGCAGTTTAAAAACTTGCATCCCGGAGGAAGATTCTGAAGGTTTGGCAAGCTCTGTAAAGTATGAGGGTTTTCCATAGCTGTCTAACACAAACATTGACTGAGTTAATATGATGTTTTACTGTGAATGAGCTTTGGGGAAACTTTGTTTAAGTCTCTGTTACTGCGCTATGTCAGGTGGGGATATTCAGATCTTACGAAGCCGGGATACCTTCCGCATTCACAGTACACTACAACACAAGAATCCATAACCTTAGGAAATGAATTAATAAGATTTAATAAAAAAGAAGATTCATGTGGAGCGAAAATGTCTTGGCTTAGCCAGATGACATAAAGCCCTTCTGTTTAATTTGTCCTCGTTTTCTAATTTAAAAATTGAGTCCCACGAAAATCATGCAAAAATAAATCCCTCAAATACGTTTGCAAAATTCCAAAAAAGCATTTATCTTTAGCCTATAATCCCATAAATTAGATTAGCTACGGTTAGAGTTTTTTCCTTCGGGTTTTCAAGGAATACGTATATTTTTAGAGTTATTGTCTTCGTGATATAATAAAAAATATTCTCGGGTGTTTCAAAATTAGATGAATATTTGTTCTTTGGTTGAATAAGCAAGTTAGTAATAAGGTGAAACAGATAGCTTATTTTTGACAATAGCATCTAACCTTGACTTCAAAAGATAACATAACAAACTCCTATCTTGTAAACAAACTAAAAGTCATCTTACTGAACTCCTCTCTACGCCTTCTTAATTACAAAATTACAAGCTGTACATCGATATGAACAAATTTATACTAATTTTGAGTACAACCAAGCATTAATCTTGTCCCGTTCTAAAAAGTCCTCCCGTTTTAACAATTACATCTATGCTCCAATTTTTACTCCGCCAAAGATTTGATATCTATATATCTATACATTAGCACGCCCCTAAGAAAAAAAATGCGTTTTCGCAGAGGGTGGGTCATGTTATTTTACCTGTATGAAGATTTTCAGCTTTGAGGAAACGCGAGGCGAGGGAAAAAATCTACTTCGGGCTTGGACAGTGATATGTACGCACGTGCAGACTGGTATGGACGTTACTCGCTCGTACCGGTTTACGTTTTACTCGTTTTCCCACTTTCTACTCTGAAGTTAAGAACTCTTAACGATCATTACACACCGAACAGACATGAAAAATAGAAAAGAAAATTAGCACAGCTGTAGATCCATTATTTAAGGCAAAACTTCCTCACATGGCTTTGAAGAATTCTAAATAAATTAGGCAATTGTTCATTGGCCAATCGCCTGTGTATTCTAGGCCAGGGGCTTAGCCCATTTGCGGGGTTTCAGCCAGTGGCAGACTGCGAATCAGGCTTCAAACATACCTCCAATAGAGCCTGTGAATAATTATTATTTGATTGAAAAACCGCCGGACCGACTTGTTTATGTATCCCTTTTTCAAGCTCTTGATTTCCGTAGACTTTTGGTAGCTCATTCCTAACAACCAAGCCATGAGAAGAAATCACTTAAGAACAGATGGGCCTCGACTGAAACCCTACAAGACTCATAAAATCCACGAATGTTATTTAATTTTAGGTTCATGATTTATTTGTGTTGATATAATAGGGGTGCAACGACTTGAGTCAAACTAACTCTTAAACACTTCGGAAGTCTCTTTGAAATAATTACTTTAGCCAAAGAATTACTAAAGAATAGAGGCGAAGACTTAATCGTTTGGGTTTCTTAGTCTGTAAAGGGGCAGCGTTTGGTCATTTCGCGGTAAGGAAATGCTGGTTCTTTCCCGCCTAGAAAATTTGAATCAATTCCTAAGTAAATAATTGTTTTCACCCGCTCCGCGGACTTCTAGAAAAAACGTTGCTTTATTGATTAATGAATATGTAACAGGAAAAAAGAATCGTCATCCTCTTCTAAGAAAGTGCTCTCCATGACTATAATTGTTATTCTTAATTCTTGAGAGATTGTATAAGACTTAAGTTCAATTTGAAGTTTGCCTTATTTATTAGTCGCCGGCCGATTTCAAAAGCCTAAAGCCCTAAGTAGCAAACCCAAAATTCGGCGCTTCGAAACTTTTTTAACTCTCTCCGAACAGACTCCATATTTTAAACCTCTCATAAAAAGTAACGGCATATCAAAATATATATCTGATGATAGGAAACTGTCAAGTTATTTTGACCTAAATTGATTTCATATTTTCTGGCTCCCACCCATATGAGAGAGATTATATCTTCTTTAATGATATTTAGAAATTAGTAGACTTATTGAAGTCTTTAGTGGGCCCAGAAAAGGAAACTCATTAGTCAATAATTTTTAGGATTTTGTACTAAGTTAGAATACCGTTTTATTCATGTATCAAAACTCGAAAATATCGAAGGATTTTTTATCTCAAAATCGCATCTTATAGAATAGAAATCAAGATTTTTAGCCTATTTCCTCTCTTTGTTCCAATTAACGACTTTACTTTAAACTTTTAAAAACAGTACAAATTTCTATTGTTTGATTAGAGAATCAAATATATTACTTCCTCAACACCACGTTCCTTTATTAATGAACAATTTCCTCTCGAGGGTGGGGGAGTTTGGCAATTTTGGCCCCTAAGTAATAAGGTTAATTTAGCTCGGAAAACTCGTAGGAGCTTTATAATGACTAAAAACTCCTTTTCAGCGGGCGTTTTAAGAAGTTTCTTTGGTTTAAAGGCTTAAAATTTACAATCAAAAGACAAGCGAGGCATGACTCTAGCTTTGCAAAGCTCCGAAAGTCTGGGAATATGACAGATGCATTACATATGTCATTGAAAAACAGAGATCAGTCTATTTTCCTTGCTCAGTCGGTGGAAAAGATCATTTTGTTGAGAACAAATGGTGTTATTTTTTCAAATCAGAACTTGAGCAGTAGTTAATGATGATGATAATTGCCTTTCTGATAAGATGCCATGTTTCTACGGGGATTTCGTGGAATCCCTTCCACGATAAAACTCTCGTACGGTCGTATGGCTTTGCGCGTCATCTCATAATATTTCTGTTGCTTTTGAATTATATTTCTACCAAGTTACAAGCATCTCCAAAACTTGTCCTTTCGGATCTTATACTCTTGAAGAAACATTCAACCTGTTTTTATAAAATTGTCTTAAACAGTACGGATTGAGATTTTGTTTCTGAATACCTTGTTGTCATCTATTTGATTCAGTTGACAATGAGTCTTAGAGCCTTTCATGAGAAATTTAGCAGAATAATTCCGTTTCATGACAAAACATAGCAATATGGTTTCGAAATCGCTTGTAAAACCATCAAGACTTAGTTAAGATGTCAGCTTAAAAGTTGTCACACGAACAATGATAGGCCAAAGAGAGGATGTCTAGCTAGCTTTAAAAATTCCCCCTGTTGACAGAATGCTATGCAACTGTTTGCAAAGGACTTACAAAGCGTAAAGGTAATCCTTTGCTAAGTACGAATCAATCTCAATAATCTAATCTAATTCAATGTGCATTCGCTGTCAAGTGGCGCATTTCGTTTCTCCCAAGACACTTCAATACCCCTAAGTGTACGATTAAGAGGCCGGGACTAACTTTTTGAGAGCAATGAATTAAGAAAAAAAGCCCTTTTGCGAATTCACTAGACTTGGTGGTCTTGCAACATAAGGTCGATAGAATTAACGCCACGGCATTTTACTCACCAACTCATTCATTTATTTTGAAAGATCAAGAACGGCCAGTACAACCGCATTTGTTTTCTGGTATAAAAATACTCTATTAAAACGTAACCTGAGAGTTTTTAAGTTGTGTAAAACTAAACTCATTCATGATTGCTCTATTGTGATTTAATCACCCTTTGCTCACTTTAGGTCGGTTAATTGAATCCGCAAAATTCACTGGAAAAACAACTATTCTTTGAATCGAATGACTGACTACTTTATAGCGTTTAGCGAAAAAACGCTCAAGTATATTCGGAAGAAGTGTTTCTTTTCAACGCTGCGGCAAAAAGGGCGCGAAAAAAAGCTCAATATGGCGGTATTTTGTTGTTAGTTTCGGATGCGAATTTAATGTTATCAGGGTATTCTAAAATCGTGGATATATTATCCTTTTTAGGATTGTTTTGCTTTAGATGGTTAGATCTGATTTTGAGTTAACACTTTGATCTCAGCACAATACGAGCATGTGGTATTAGACAAAAGGTAGACAAAGAACTGTTCCTGAATTAACTATCACCCCGCCCCACGCTGAACAGCTTCATTTGAAAAAACCGATTCACAAAATTAGTTAGCCAATTTGAGCAATTTAACCAATTAACTCTACCAAAAACACAAGCTTGAATACCAGCTGATGATTTGGACAAATAGTTAACACTTTTTATTTAGCAAATCTAAGGTCATGCTAGAGTGTGTATCTTTGCCTGAATCGCGGGGAGTCAAAGAGATCGTTTCAAAGTATTATCGATTTTCTATTTGACTTCCGATGGCACTTAAGAGAAAGCAAATGTTATCGGCCCGCTGAATTCCCTTCTTTTTTCCTCTATTTCAATCAACAATTTTAACTATTTATTTCTTAGTAAATCATTATTCAAATCACGATATCTATTTGATAATTTTTCATCATTTAACTCATTAAAAAAGGAAGAAAAAGTAGAGAAAGAAAAGTAAATTTCTTAAAGATTTAACGCTTTTCAAAAATAAGTGTGTCGAATTTGCTTTTCTTTATTGTTGCTTTTTTTTGTGCACCATTTCAACACCTCGGAATTTCAATTCCGGTTTTTTCCCAGTGAAATCTGGAAAGACAAGACAGTTAGGCAGAGATATTTCACGCTTAACTAGGCTCACTAAACCCAACACGGTAACGAGACCTTGTCATATGTAAACCAGCTGGGATTCAGTCTACGAACAAACGTTTACTCTAGAACCCTGGTTTGGTTGTACAAAATCCCTCAGCATGGCTCGTAATGTAAATAATCTCTTGCAAATAGACAAATAATCGATTGCATAATGAAATTGGATTTCTTTAGTTCTTTGTCAACAGAGAAACATTAGTAGACGTTGTCTTGTTTCTGGACACTAAGGTGATTACCCTTCTTCTTCTTCCTCTTCTTCTTTCTTAATTTTAATCATTTTATTTAGTATATAAATCATTTTATTTAGTATATAAACATTTAACCCTTAAATTAACTAACCTAGTTTTCACTCAAACTTTGCTCTCATTACTCAAGTATCTTTCACTAATACGAACGAATGGTGATAATGATGCTGAATCTATCCAGTCATTCACTTCAATTCCTCAATCCATCCATCCCAATTGTCCCATCTATCCATTCCACTACCTCCAATTATCCATTTGTTCATATCCGAGAGAAAATGATCATGTCAATGATGAAGATGAGTAAGAGAAAGGATTTGGATAACATTAAGAACTTAATACATTAACTAAATATGCCTGTCATATGGCTTCGAAAACCGGCAAGCATTGTATTTATAAGGTTAACATTTTGCCCCTTTTTTAACTGGAAACCATGATTGGATTGTCATAACATGAGTAGATCTTCCCGAGTCAGTGCACCGCTAAAGATACATTATCAGCGGTCATTTTTGTACAAGAAAATATGCCATGCGAATGCTGTACCTACCTGAGTCGAGCAGTTGAAGCGTTGTTTCATCCTTACTCCCTCCCTAAAAGACTTAACTGATTGCTTTGCCCTTTGGCATGCATGATGCGGTCTTTCTTATTTGTCCCTTTCTCTCTACCGACCACCTACAAAGGACAACACACTGTCTGCGAAGTTTGCTCCCGGCTCGAAAACTATTAAAAATATTGTTGCCCTTAGAAATTTGAAAAAAAAATTCTTTCTTTCCTTTCCTTTCCTTTCCTTTCCTTTCCTTTCCTTTCCTTTTCTTTTCTTTTCTTTTCTTTTCTTGCCATTTTTAATCTAATTATTTTATCATTCTAGTAAGTTTGGCTTAAGACTAGTACCAACTGAAGGTCTTATTCATATGTTCTCTTGAACATCTCTCTGTTTAAAAATGTTGCTTCACGCCGCTATATATCGTCTATCGCTGCGTTTAAAATGTTTAAAATACCGACTTAAAAATGGCATCCAGTGTAAAGGTTAGAAACTGAGAGAAATGGTGAGAAACGGAAGTGAAAAAGAGAAAAAAAATACTTGTATTAAATTTTT